TATATATATATATATATAGGGCTTTCTTTGAGGATTTTGCTGTCTGCATGCATATATAAAAATATAAAATGCTACATCATGTAGGATACATTTATTATATGATATTGGGCTTGTTTGAGTTGAGAAATTTGTGATATTTAATTAGGCGGTTCAAAGATTTTATAAGAACACACAGCTATGTATACTCCACAGAAATTTTCATTACATCTTTTTTATCTCGGTAATTTTATATCTTTCATTTACAGCATCTGATTATTTTTTGAAGCTACTTAAAGTAACTTCCCAAAATAACCAGGCATACGCCCGCTATTTTTCAAATTCTAATTATTTTCAAAAATTTGAACATAATTTTTATTTCATTATCTTTGGAAAAAATAATTAACAAATCGATCAAATTATATTGACGCCTATTTAAATTTTAAAATTTTGGTCGATCCATGCATGCAGTTTTGTATAAATTGAAATTAAAAGGAGTATAACTTTTTTTTATAATATATGATGAGGAGTGAAAGGGACAAAGCTCAATAAATGCTTCACAAGTTTTTTAATAATAGTTTCTAATGTGAATGATATATTGAGCCAAAAAAAAAAGTAATGCTACATGTTTTGAATTTGAAAGTGATTATATTTAAGAAAAGACAAAATGAAAAATTAATCGTTTAATTCACTTCAATCGCTACACTTTAAAATTTTATCATTATCTCCTTTGTGAGGTTAGCATCCCGAAGTTAAAGTCAATGAGAGGTCTCCGTCAAGTGACCGTCATCTGCCTCCCTGAGACTGAGACTCCCAAATAAAAGTTTAAAAGTTTGACAATTCAAATGGCTTGTGCTTCGACTTTTCTCCATGATAACCTTTTATATATATATATATATATATATATATATATATCTCTCTCTCTCTCTCTCTCTCTCTCTCTCAGAGTCCCATGTCCTATTCATGTATTATGCATACGTGATGTTTACGTAGTCATTGCGTAAAAAATAAGAGAAAAAAAAGAATTAGGATAAACTACAAATTAATAAAAACAGTTTAATATTTCACCCTACACACACATATATAAGTTGTTTCGTTGATAATTTAGTATTGGTCTTCAAAAATCTATAAGCCCACCAAACTAAGCTTAGCTTTCACACCGTACAAGCTGAATCTTTTCTATTATTTTCTTCTTTATTTTAAATTTTGGGTTTTTTTATCTCAGACAAAATAAGTATAACAAAAGTCATATTGTGAAATTAATCTTATCTTCCTGAAAAAACAAAGGAAAGAAAAGGTAGACACTAAACAAGATAAAACTATGCTAGAGTTCTTCTGAGATACTAATTCCATAATATATATGTTTATAAATTATAGAATAAAATAATCTAATTAGGCTTATAGTTTGCATCAATTACACAGACTTTCTTACTATTTTGAAAACATATTAATACTATTAAGAATATTTTAAAAAGATTCTAAAAATATTATTTTTAACTAAAATTTAAATTTAAATAAATTTTGTGAGTAAAATGTACTGACCATCTTTTTATTTTACCTCAACTACAAAAGTCTTTCTTCTATTTTAGAAAAATATATAAACCTTCTTTAAAATTAAAACATGTTACACAAAACCTCCCTCTTATATTTAAGATTTTATTTCCATTCACCTAACAGTTAGTTGACTATTAAGTTTTCACTTTAAATTATTTTTTTGACCAAAATGCCTATTTTTAACTTAATAATTATTGAGTCATTTATATTTTCCAAAAAATATTTTTTATAAAATCAAAAAATAATTCTGATAAAAAAAATATGTTTATAAGAGTGAATTTTTTTTTACCTTCAGTTTATAAGAGTGAATGAACATTTAATATTTTAAAAAATTAATATATAAGAGTAAATACAATCTATATATAACATAAAAAAAAAACTAATTTAGCGATTCAATCATTTATTAGGAATTAATATTTGACCCGTTTTGAGAGTTATGGCTCTGCTAACCTGGTGGACATAACTAAATGGTAATTGCAAAGTAGGTACATCAAATTGTGATTGCAAGAATCTGATAAATTTTTTTATATAGAAAGAATCAGTACTTTGTAAATTTTGTAATCAGTACTTTAATTTATATTCTTCTCATTAATAACATTTTCAATGGAAGACTTTTTTGTCAGTTTTTGTAGTTTAATTTTACGTTTTTTGATCCCTAAGGTCTTTGGGTCAAAAAGCAAAGATTAGAATGGTTAACAAGCATTATTACTGGATGGACGATGGATTGGCAAATAAATATATATCCTGCTTACTTGATTTCTAAGCATTCTAGAATACTCAGTCCCCATACATTGAATTATGTTGAAGGAATTTAAAGATACTATCAAATTTTAGGATAGCTACGATCAAATTTTGGTAGAATGTAATATATATTTTTAATTTAATCATAATTTTTAACATTTTTTTAACAAAATTTAATATTAATTTAAAAATTATAAAATTTATCTTTCCATTTCAATTCTGCTCCCTACAATTTTTATTACAAGATACAAATATTATAATCAATTTTAAAGGTAGTATACATGTAAGAATATAACTTATTTTTCAAAAATGCCTTCTTTGTGGGGGGGCCTAAGGGAGAAAATTAAATGAATAAAATAGTTAATTAATACAGTGAGACCGACCAATAAGTAATGGGAACAAAAATTAAAAATTGATGTTAAAAATTTTAGGCATACTTAGTTTCTCTTATAAATTAGAATTTTGTCTCTAAAAAAAATCCTATATATAAGACTTGAGGGAGTATTATTTTATATTTCTGCTCTTGTTTCAAAAGTCGTTGTTTTAGGGCTTAAATTAAAGAGCTCTTTTCAATTTTTTTTCCAATGAAATAGAAATGTTTTTATCAAGATTTAATTGACAAGGAGTGTGAAAAGACTGAAAACCTACCAACTTGACTTTTAACCATCGGGGATATTCATGCACCCCCTATGTTTTAATTAAAGAGAAAATTATATTCAAGAATTCGTAGTATTACATAACATAAGATTTTAAAAGCCGTAATTATCTTTAAGAATAATTTACGATTAAATATTACGGTATTTAATATTAGACCCTAAGAAAACCAGTATCAAATTTTAAAAAAGTTACAGTTCTACGAAGCTAACTTAAAAAATTAGTAGAATGTGCTGGAATGGAAACCAATTCCCATGAATATATCGTACAAATTATAATTACATGATAAGTAATTGAATTAATGAGATCTTTTCATGTAATGGTTGGGTCCGTTTGGATTAACGATAGAAAAAATAATTTATTTATTAACGATAGAAAAAATAATTTATTTGTATCTGACTTTTAAAAAAGTAAGATTGGGTAATATGATTTATGTTTGAATTGAATTTTATAAAAGTTAATTTATAAAATAGAAAAGTTGTTTGGATTATGATTGGATAAGTAAGTTTAGTTTGTAAAATGACTAAAATGGGTATGACTTTTATTAAATAATGAAAAATGATTAAAAATATGAATTTGCAAAATATAATCATTTTAATTTTAAATTATCATAATAGCAAAAACATTATATTTGATGAATAAAGTATATTTAAATTACAAATACCGTAAAATTTTTAAATCAAATAATACTACCTAATTATGAAGATTCAAGTTCAAATTTTGCCTGAATATCAATCTCAATTTAAGTGGTTGTCTTTTATATACTAATAATTAAAAAAAAACGCAGCGATCAGGGGCAACAAAAAAAAAAGAAGCAGCAAAAAGCATGCTATATAATTAAATGACACGCGTACCGAGACAGGGAAAAAAACAAAAACAAAAACAAAAACAAAAACACAGACACGATTCATAAGTATCTAAAAGTTGCTTTTGCGATTGTACCATTTTTTCCACCTTGTCACCCGTAAGTCAAATGGTCCAGGAACTTATCCAAACATCTCATAATATATGAAAAGTGCTTTTGAGTCATAAAAACTATTTAGGGAGTATTTGGGTAATATCAAAATCATAGTTTCAGAATTATTTTTACGGTATACGAAATAAATATGTGGAAGAGTTTGCTTCGTGCTTCTGAAAAGTGATTATTGGGGTATCCAATGTTTGGCAACATGATGGTTTTGAGACCAAACTATGGTTTGGGTCTTAAGGAGGTGCTTAGATAGAAACCAAACCATGGTTTCAGAAGTGCTTTTACGATTTACAAAGTAAATATGTAGAGGAGTTTGTCTCGTTTTGCTGAAAAGTGCTTCTGAGAAGCACTTCTTAGGGTTGCCAAACACCCCATAAATTTGCCAAATAGGGAGGAAAATTAACAAACCGCGGTTTCAGGCCAAAACCATGGTTTTAGAAAAAGTGAATCTATTTTGCTTCTGACTTAAATTAGAGAGTATGATTGTGCATGTTAAAATAGATTTCAACAATAAAATGACTTTAACACCCCTCAATTATTTTTTTATAAATATATTTAATCTTATATTTTATAAATATATACATATATTAATTAATTATTAATTATATTATCTTATATATTATTAATTATGTTGGTAAAAAATATATTATTAACAATTTTATCCCTTCAAATTAAAATATATCATAAAATTGTAACAAAAAATATATATATCATAAAATTTATTTTTATGTAATTATTATGCCTTTTTAGTAATTTGTACATTGTTTCTGATAATAATTATTTAAACATTCCCGTTTTTTAGAATCACTTTTTTATAAAATCTATTCTCCAGAAACTATCTTCCAAGCTATAGTTTCATTCAAACAGCTACTTAGCCACTGCTGAAATGTGAATCCGAACAGACACCGTATGATTTTGAAAATGATTTTTTCGGGAGAACTGAGAAGGGTTAAAATAATTATTTTTCGGTCTATAAAAAAAAAAAAAACAAAAACAAAAGAGAAGAGTTAAAATCATAAAAAGCAGTGTTTTCATTGTGCACACACTGTTCACACTTCGCCTTGATCACGGCTACCAGGTAATGCGTGTTGCGTGCTAAGTGCTAACGGGCTTAGCGCGGTTCTTCTTCCTCCTCCTCCATGTTTTCGCCATTCCTTGCATTTGCTAGGGTTGATATCAATCAGGTTTCAGATGAAATAGGAGACAGTCAAGTTACTTCATTTCAGTCTAGTTTTATGTGATTTGTACTTCATTTTCCCCCCTATTTCACTTTTGAGTTTTCATTTCCTAGGATAAACTTCCTCGAAATTTGTAGAAGGAAGAAAAGTAAAAACAACGTGAGCTTAACATTTCGTGTGCGCGTGTTTTGCTTTTGAAATGTAATCAATGTTGGAGTTGACGGTGTGATGTTGAGTGTTGTTCTGTTTTAGTTTGTTTGGTTGCTAAGAAAATTCAGGGAAGAGAGGAAAAGTGGGATCACATAAAAAGAAGTTCGTGCCAACCCATTTGCTTTGCGCGAAGATGATGAGGTGATGCCGTGAAAATTATGTGGGGCAATATTGGAGGGTCGGATGGAAAGCTTTTCTTGGAACGCGAGATATCAGGATTTTTTTAAATGGAACACCATTAGAGTACTTTTTTCAAGGAAAAAAAATAATGAAAAGGGAACTGTTTCATAAGCGGCAGTTGCGATTCCTTGGACGTGATCCTTCTGGGTTTTTGAAACAGTAAATGGAGCAAAGTGGGACAACTGCAAATCTACTAGATGGGAGATTTCTTTAATTTCTCTATCGCTTCTTTAATTTCTTTTGAATCTCTTGCTCCATATTAGTATTCTTCCGCGCTTTTGTAAATTGCATTTGCACGTGCTTGTTGATGTGCTTTGGTATGTTGCATGCGTGTATGATACGGCAGTAATGATATATGACACTAGAGTTGTACCCTTGCAGCAATGAACTATAATAACTCGTATGCTTCTTGTTCTACAGGATACTTTTGGGCATACAATGGCATCATCAGATGAAGAGGGCGAGATTGTCCCACAGTGTGTTACTAATTACTATTTTATTGATGATAAATATCAACCTGTTTCACTTTCTATTTTACCATTACTGATGAGCATGGATGAGATTAAATGTGACTTGGCGACAACAGTATACTTGCGTGGCACTGCTTATGATGACCATCAGGAAATTTTTAAACAGGTCATAGCTTGGAAATTTGAACTTTCATCTGTTCAGCCCGAGATTTCCATACTTTCAAAAGACAAAGCTTGGATAACTCTCCAAAGGCCTAGTAAAAGCTATGAAAGTATAATTAGGACAGTCTTGGTTACAGTATATTGGCTGCATTTTGTGAGAAGGAACCCAGAGGAACCTAGAATGTCTGTTTGGAAATACTTACAGGAGGTCTTCAGGTATTTGTGCTGCGGTTTACAGATGTCTAATCTCCCCTCTCCCATCTTGATTCATTGATGATGACTATTTTGCAGCTCGTCTGATGTTAAACCTTCTGTGGATGACATCCAAAATCATGTGTCATTGATTAGAGAGGCTGCTGAATGGGACAAAGATTTTGCAAAATCTGAGGTTCTTATCCTGTTTTAAATTAATTAGCATTGCTGGCTTTCCCCATCGGCTTTTCCAAATGTCAGCCTTGATTATAATTTTTTATGAGCTAGACACTCTTTTCAGATAAACATGAATTATTTTGCTTTCTACTTAACCTGTTTGTTCAAATACTGCTCTCCATTATGTCAAAACCAATCACTTGTTAGTTGATGAACTTCTTTATTTTTTGGCAGTTTTACCTAACCTGAGCTTGCTTTCTGTGAGTTTATTTTAACTTTAACTTTGTTCACTAAGTTTTGTTTTGTAATGCGCAGCATCTACTTACTTTTATAAAAGATCCATGGTCTAATGAAGTCTTCCATGAGGTCCGTGTTAACTATTACTTGTTTTCTGTAGAATCTTGTTCAACTTATTTCTTGTTACAAACTGTTGGTTGATTTATTAGGATCCTTCAGTAAAGAAGTCTAAAAACATAGTTGATTCAGAAGAGGACGCTGATGATTCTGCTGGTGAAGAAACCAGTGCTGACGGAAATCATTATGCTGGATTTTATGATGCTGTTTGTGCAATTTGCGATAATGGTGGTGAAATCCTGCCGTATGTCCTTATCATATCTTATCTATGATATAAAGACGCACTTCCCTCAGATTACCTTTCCTTATTATTTAGTAATTAAACTTTTGTTATCTTTTGCATATTTTCTTTTAATGATGCAGTTGTGAAGGGAAATGCCTGAGATCATTCCATGCAACTATAGATGCTGGTTTAGATACATGTGAATCTCTTGGCTACGCTAGGGCTGAAGTCGATGCAAGCACTCTATCTTACATATTCAGTGTCCCTTCTTATTAATTCAAATTGTCTTGTGCTAATGAAAGCAAATCTTGCTTTTACAGGCCATCCCAAATTTCTTTTGTGCAAATTGTAAGTATAAGCAGCATCAGTGCTTTGTCTGTGGAAAACTGGGTTTGTCTGATGAATCTTCTAATGCAGAGGTATATTTCAGATCTAATTTATTTCCCCCTTTTTATTGTGTGTCCTGCCTTTCCACTGTGGGAGAATTTCATATGAAAAACATCCAAGGATATGTATAAATTTTATTTTTCATTCTTCACAGTTGTTTCTTTGTTTGTTTTTGAATAAGGTTGATCCTTTAATAAATCAATTAGTTATAATTTTCAGTATAATAGTATTAATATTCAAACTTTTTGTTCAACTTGTTTCTTCCCCTTTTGTACTGGACCCATAGGCTAATAATTTCTCTAAAGATTCTATTTCTTAGTAGCAATAAGTATGTGTGTTGTGAAAATAGAGATGGTAATGAAGGAATACAGACAGAAGATGGTGTTGTATGAAAGATTCATGGCTTTTAGGATTCAGTCACATGATTATCTTATGAATCTTCAAGAATTTGAAACCTCGAATATCTCTATTCCTGTATTTGGATACCTTTTCTTTCTCTTGCTCTGACTTGTTCATATCTAATTTTGGTTCTTTTTTTCCTTTGGTATCTGGAGTCTAAATATCTACCAGTTCTTGTGTTCTTGAACTTAAACTTGTTATTTGCTTCATGGATTCATAACATGTAAAAATAAAGGGCTTTGCCATGTTTGGTTGTAGGTATTCCGCTGCATTGTTTCAACTTGTGGCCATTATTACCATCCAGAATGCGTTGCAGAGTTACTGTCCTTTGGTGTTGATTTTGAAAGAGAAGAAATACAAAAAAATATTGCTGCTGGGAAATCATTCATGTGTCCTCTTCATAAATGTTCATTGTGTAGGAAAGTTGAAGATAAGAATGTTCATGACTTGCAGTTTGCAATGTGCAGACGCTGCCCTAAGGCCTACCACAGGAAGTGCTTACCCAGGTAGCTCTCCCCCTCTCCACCCCCTCTTTGTTGTCAATTGTAAATGTTCTTTTTGATGTGGAGGTAAATGTTCTTTTTGCTACTGGTTTTATATATAAGACTTATTTCTTATATTTATTAATTTTTTCCCAAATTAATCCTCTTGATATTTTCCAAACAATAATCAAGTAAGAGGAGGGAGGGAATTAAAGAAGATGCTTAAAGTGTTTTAGAAAAGAGCATATCATATTAACTAATTTAACTAACATATTTAATCTAGTTAGGTTAGTTAATTAGGTCTTATATTTAAGACCAAAGGAGTACTTTCTGATAAGAGATCTATAGGATGTAGTATGCCTTTGTGTTCACCATAATCTCTGTATCTACATCTACTTTCTTTAAGCAGAGAGATTGCCCTTATGGGTACGGACCAAAGAGCTTGGGAGGATCTGATTGATGGTCGAATTTTGATGTACTGCATGTAAGTTCTTATTGTAATAGTGGTGTTAAAACTAAACTATGAATACTTGCTTGAGATTTATGTCTCTTGCCTTATGCTTTGGCACACATTCAGGGATCATGAGATAGTTCCCGAACTTGGGACTCCTGTTAGAAATCATCTGGTATTTCCTAGTAAGGAAAGAAGAAAGAATGAAGGCCCTTACAACGCACTATTAGGTCAAGAGAAGGTTGCTACTTCAACAAGGCAAGAACATATTACTGCTAGAAGTATAAAATTACCAGAAACTGTAACAGTGGCGGGTGGTAGCATTCGCAATGGAGGTTCTGCATATAAGACTTGTGAAAGAACTGATAGGTTACCAGCTAGGTTGTCGCAGCAAATATTGTCTGGTGGAAGAACTGATAAAAGCATCCTAGAAAACTCTGTGGTGAAAAAACCCAAAACATCATATCAACTTGCCAAGAATGATATGAGAAAGCGGTATTTTGTTTGAATGTCACATGTTATGCTTTATTTGATAAAATTTACAAATGGTACTTGATTTTTAGTTCAGCTGCTTCCATTAGGGCACAACTGTTTTGGTTGTTGTTTAATTGCATGCAGAGTTTTGTCATTGATAGAAGAATCTACATCTGCATTTGAAGAGGAAGAGTTTAAAAGGAGCCAGCCACGCTTGGTTACAAGTTCATGTTTCTCAGAAACTGCATTAGATAAGAATCTTACTGAAGGAAAAGTAGAGGGTTCAATTAAGGTATATCTTAATTTTAGTATCTTCCAGTTGAGGTCATACAAAATATGAGAATTTATGCTAAACTAACTGATGGGCTATTAGCTTTTTAGCTAAAGAATGTCTGACTTTCTCGCAGGCAATTCAAATTGCCTTACAAATGTTAGAAGGTGGAGGTGGATGCTGTATTGAGGATGCTAAAGCTATTTGTGAGCCAGGGATCCTTAATCAAATTTTTATTTGGCAGGCATGAAGCAACATATCTCAAATTATCTTTTTTCTTTTTAGTGAGAAAATATAATTTACAGGTCTTAATTTATTTCAATGTATCAACTTTTACAATTGTTCATTGGAATGTTATTTATGATACCTACAAATTTCCTTCAGTTAAGCATGGCAAGTGCTTTCATTTTAAATTTATTATTATACAGGCAGGACTTCTTGTTTCTATTTTAGGCAATTATTTTGACCATACAGAACCGATCTTGGTCACATCTTCCAATAAAATTAAATTGACTATTGTTTGCTATGAAGTGTGAATATACCTAACTTCAGGTGTGGTGGTGTGGCCAACGTATTGATCACCAATACTGCAACAACACATTGTTGATATGATGGGGGACATAGTTGGATTTGTTTGATGTTTTTGTGATTTGATGTCTTAGTAATTTTTTAGTTCAGTTCATATCATTAGTATTTTGATCTTTATACTCATAGCTCCAATAATCTCTAGGATTATTTTGATGTTGAACCTTTCACCTATTAAATTGAGTTGAGATTATTTGCCGTCACACTCCAATTTCTCTACTTCTCTCTCCCCCTTCCTCCTTGCCCTACATCATGACATGTGTTTGAGAAATACATAGTCATGTTAAGGAACTATTGCTTGGGCTTAGACTAACATTCAGTAGAGAGATAAAACCTGGATATGGATGCCTCCAAGAAAGGGGATAAAGGTAAAAGAAAAATGCAGATCGAGTAAGTCTAGAAACCCAATTTTGACAAGACAATAAAATTTCTTCGTCTAACACTAGAAAAGTAATAAAATGTGGACTTGGAAGGAGAAAATTCTAGTTTGCATTTCTTCTTGGGAAAACTACGTAATACAAAGCCACATATACACAAAGGAGACCTCCAGGGAGTAAAAGCCAATGAAACCTAACAAATGCAAGCTAATAAAGTTTCAGAGTCTTAACCAATACTTAGACTTACCTATAGGCTTAACCAATATGGTTCAATCTCTTTGCACAAGAGCAACCCAATTCCACTAAAAATAATCCCTTATCTTCGAATAATCTCTTTTAGAAATGAGAACATACAACAACAAGAAGCAGCCTTATTCCACTAGGTGAAGTCGGCTACATGGATCACACGATGTCATTGTACTCTATCAAGAACTAAATCTTCAGTTAGAAATGAGAACATAAAAGAAGAAAAACTCTCATAAAGATTAAATATACAAATAAAGTACTTGATGAAAAAGATGACAGTACTGAATGAGAATTTAACGTAATTCCTGTTGTCAGCACTTTAATAATGTTTTCATTTATTACAACATGCTGTATTGTCTTGTGCAGTTTGTAGTGATCCTTTATCTCATTCTTCTATATACTGGAACTTAAAATGTTCCGTATTCAATAATTTTGCGCTTTGTTTGTGGATGTTTAGTTAAAAATTTCAAAATTATTGTCGTAAGAGTTTCATTTTGCTGGGCACATTTGCCTTCTATCAACGAAGTTTGAAAGTAGATTTTGTAGAACTCTGCAAGATGGCTTTTTTTGGAATATTCTCTATACTCTTAGTTCCACTATTCTTGCTTTTCCTCATTAATTCGCTTTATTTTTGCATTTGTATTTTCATTTAAAATAGCATACAGTTTTAACTCAACTTATATTGTTCAAGAGTTAAAGTAATAGGTTGTCCATATCTTCTTTCTTTGTCTCTCTTTGCAGTGTTTTATTTAAAATAACGGGAGAAACAATGTTTATAAGTTTGGTAGAGATATCTATCAGTTTGTGGTTTTTGTTGTACGCTGGATGGCTTTCAACATTATGGATATTCTTATTGAGTTGTATTATAGACATCATTGACTGTGTATTTGTCAAAAGATTAGAGGCTTTTTGGGCAGATAATAATAATAATGATTATTCGCTTGATTGCAGAGGCAGCTCAAGGTCTACCTGGCACCTTTTCTTCATTGGAAAAGATATACTTCTTTTGGGCGCCATTTTACAAAATTAGGCAAGCTTAAGGAGGTAATACTTCTGAATTATTAACATCAGGAAGAAGATTTTTTGCCATCAATTGTTATCCCTTTTTTCTATAGAAAATCATAGCAGATGGCTGAAAATACCATCTTTTATAGGTCTTGAAGCAGTAGAGTAGAGTACGTATATTGAGGGGAGATGAGAACAATCCTTTCGATCAATCCCAATAAATCAACAAGATTCAAATAGAAAATAATTCCTTGTGAAAGTTAATAAAAACCAAGAATCATAGGACAGTATAATAGGAAATAATGAGCTAAATAAAGATTCAAGAAAGAATAAAGCCATTTGCATTCTGTTATGACTCTCCACAAATACTTTTAGAATCAAACACCTTTGGCTATTTAAAGAAGAACTTGATGCTAAAGGTCAAAACTGAAAATAAAATACGTTACTTAGATTGCAATATACTACACTGGTACATAGTTAGAAATGACACTGAAAAAAAAAAAAAAGGAAAGGGATTCCACTTTCAAACTCTAACACAAAGGATAACAAAGGGTAGAGATACAAACCACATGTAAAGACACTGCTATCTCCACTGGACAGAATATAACAAGTTTGGCAATCAATTGAGAAGATGGATCTCTCTACTCCAATGGCTAAGCCTGATTCAAAGTTCTTCCTGCCTCTTTTGTGAAACCAAAGGGAGATTTATAGACCAAAAAGTGACTTTTACAACCCTCACCATAGAGACTTTGACAACCCTACTCTCTATTTCTTCAAAATAGCAAGTCAAAATTCTGCCCAACAAAAAGTTCCTCTCCCTTAACATGTATTTTTGTAGATATTCAAAAGTGGTCCTAACACATTTAGTTCTGGTATCTTAGCTATTCTTTGCTGTGTCTAGCAAGGTTTGTTTCCTGAATAGCCTCACTCCCCATGTGATGTCATTTATGAGCCTTGCAATGTTGCTGCCTATGAGATACTACTCCTATAGCTTGACTTTGCACATCAGGACATTGAATGCATCTTGATAGCTGCTTATGGGACACACTCCTATAGGTTGATTTTTCAGGTGAGGTTAATGTTTTTCAGCAGCAAGATTATGCGAACTATATATCCACTTTATACATTTTTAGTAATTTTATTTTTCAATTACCAATAATTTAATCTAGGTCTAAAATAGATGTTTCCAAATGAGGTTTGTGTATTTTGTCAGGTTCAAGTCTCTTGTTGACATGTTCAGTGCTGATTTTGACAGTTTCAAGTCTGATTTCAACATGTGTAGTGAATATTTCAGATTCAGGGTCCTCTGGGCTAACAGGTTCTGGTACAGTAGAAATAGGTTCCCAAAGGTTTGTTTGCCCTCAAAACTCTCCCCCTGAATGGACGTTTTTGGATAATGAGATTGATCCTCAAAAAAGGTAAACCTGTGGACAAAAAATACGACTTGAGAGGAGGAGAATAACATCTTACCCCTCTTGAGTGGCTGAATAACCCAAGAAAATACATTAATGAGCCCTACCATCAAGTTTATTCCTATGAGTTGCGGACAAATGCAACACAGCAAAAAACCCTTTGAGGTGCAATGTTAAGTAAAGGCATAGATAGATAGGCTTCAAACCATGGCATGAAAAACCAGATCAGTTGGGTTAACCCAAAAATTGGTGATCCGGCCACTTGTCCAGTCTAGCTAATGGTCAAACTCACTCGGAATTTGACCTAGAGTAACCCGGGGGGTTACTTGGGTCACTTTTTTATTCTCCTGAAAAATGCAAGATCCCTAGGAAAGAAGAAAATTTCAGGAAAAAGACGAAAGGTCAGGCAGAAGAGATGAAAAATAGTAGATGAGGAGATGTAAAAAAAAAAAAAAAACCTTACTGTAAAAGAGAACTCCTAGAAAGTAATGTAAGAAGAATGAAATGAATAAACTTTTTAGTGTAGAAAGGATGAAGAAAGAAGATCAAGAGAATGAGGCTTCAAGATGAGAGAGATATTGGAAAATAAAGAGAGCACCGAGTCAAGTGATTCAAATTGCAATGAAGGAAAAGGAAAGTTTGGACTCTGAATTATAGGTTTGTTTGACGTGTTGCTTGCAAGTTTGTATTTCTTCCCTTCTTTTTTTTTTTTTTTATCATTTTTCTATGATTGCCTCAAATGCCTACGATCTCTTTTTACAAAAAATATGCAACATAATTTTGCACATTCTCCATGATCCCGTTTGTCCATTACCCAATATAATTATATATAAAATATATAAATGAAGAAGAGGAGGGAAGTGGTCTGGTTTTTTTATAGGGCAGAGAGAGAAGACATTTTTTGATCATATTTATAGAGTACTGAGAGAATTTTTTAATGGATGTACAATTTTACCTATCATTTATTATTGTGTTAACTTTGTTTACATGAGGTATAATGTATATTAAATAAGGATAAAGTTTGAAAGTAGTTGAATTTTAAATGAGAATTAATGAAGTTTAAGATTTTTTTTTTTTGAGTCTGTGTGAAACATGGAATGATTTATAAATAGGATCAAAAGAATACATTATATATATTACTTTTGTTATTTAATAGGATATTTTTAAATAAAAATATTTTTTATATAACAACAACAAAGTCTTATTCCACTAGGTAAGATCAGCCGCATGGATTGTATGGTGCCATTCTTCTTTATTAACCAAAACTTTGGATAGTTGTTAATTGAAAGATCTCGTTCAAAAGTTATTAAGTGTTCTTTTTGCGCCTTTTGCTACCCCTTTTCAATTTAATTTTTTTATAATTAAATTTAATATTTTTGATATTGGTAAACAGAGAGAATAGACTAAACAGTAAATTATGAAATTCACTCAACACCCAATACATCAATGGTTACCTTTTTTATAGACCTCTTATGCTAATTGCCCAAACTACCCTTTTCACCCCTAATTCCCATATAGGATAAGATTTTTTCCCCCTCTAGGCCATAAGTTTCTAAGACTTCTGAAAGGAAAACCATGTGAAAACAAAATTAATGGACATCAAACACTCCAGCATGTTGCTGTATTCCTTCTGTCTAGAGGCCTATTGTGTTATGTATAGTAAAGAAATAGGAGAGAGAAGAGGAAAGGGAAAATAGAGAAGCAAAGGAGACCAAGAGAAACTAAGTAACTTCAATCAAATTGCAAAACTGCATTATGAAGGGTAATGGGTACTTTTTTGTTTTAAGCAAAAGCCCTAATAGATTCACTGGCTATTATACTGGTTGAAATACTAAGAATATTAGCTAACATTCTTGAAAGAATATGAAATTGATTTTGATTGTTCTTCCACTAATTCAAACATCTAATTCTTTCCAATTATTAGGCTTAAGTGTTAGTTCTTTTAAATAATTTTCTAGTTCAAATTTGCATATAAAAAACTGATCCATAATTGTATAAATATCTTAATAATCTTACACCATTAAAAAATTTTAGGTAAATACTACTGTACTGGCTAAATAGAATTAAGCGAGTTTAATTGACAAAAAAATTTAAAACATTCATATGTCAAATGGATCATCAAAGGATGTTGTTGTTGAAATACTTGAAGGGTGGAAAGAATGATGAGTTATGAGTGTTGAAGTTCTAGAAGTTGATGCACTCCCACTAAGATTAGTAGACAATGTCCCCATATTTTGGCATTGATCTCTTGAAATTTACATTGAGTTAATTATATTCAAATTAGAATTTAAATTATTATTTATTATTTTTGAAGCTCTATAGTAGTAGGTTATTTTAATAATGGATAAGGTGCTTAAATATCTCGGAAGTATCCATGAAGGAGCTCCAAGCACCTAAAAGTTTCTTTTGGCTCTTATATGCCTTGGGAGTTTATTTTTATAGTGAAAGTACCTTGGCCGTTATCCGCTATTAGGTTTGATTGTTAAAACAGTTAAACTTAATGGCAGATAACGATTCAGGGCAGAAATGCTATGAAATAAAACTTCTAGGGCATATAAGATTGGGGAAAAAAAAATTCTTGGTGTTGAGTGCTTCCTCTTGGATACTTCTTGGGTGTTTAAGGACCTTATCCCTTTTAATAATTTATCAAGTTTTGATTAAAAAAAAAAAATAGGTAGGCTTATAAGGGATGGCTATCGGCTCTAACGAGCTAGCCCTTTTGATTTTGAGCCCTTATGGCTAGCCTATTTAAGCTCAATCTCTTTTTGAACCCCTTAAAATACTAATCCGGCCCTTCACATAAGCCTACCTGATGGGTTGGCCTGTTTTGATGGCTCTACTTGTAACTTCTTTAGACATTTTATTTTTCTGGTTTCAAACCACAGCAAAATTTGGGAATAACCCTAGTAATACCATGTTCCCAATTCCTATCACTATACAAATGGAGGGCTCGGTTGTACTACCTGTAATGATTTCATTTTCTTTATATCCCTAGCAACTTTGTATCTGTGCTGTAGTTGAGGAGCATCTCAATCACGCTAGTTGCAAGGTTCTTGTGAACTCTTTTTGGGGCAATATTTGATTGAGTATCATCTTCTTTCTTTAAATGTGAATGGTTTTGGATCATTTCATGAATCTGGTTGGGTTCCTCTTTGGGCGCAATGCCCTTATCTCAATATGCTTCAAGCTCTTCTTGAATATTGGGTTCACCATCTTATCTGGCTTCTGAGCAGTCACTGTCACAAATCCTGCTGCTATTGACCACCAAATCAACAGAGGAGGCTGGTTCAAATAGTTCTGGGTGAACGACAGTAATGGTTTATGGGAAAGGGGGCAGCTGGACATGGTGGCACCTCAGATGTTGTGACCTTCTATTCAATATATATGAACTGAGACGACAACCTTGCCACCAGAATCCATTGTTTGTAGGGATAAAAGAAGAATATAGCCAAACAAGTAGATTAAAAAAAAAAAAAAAAACAACAACAACAAATTAAAGCAAGGCGAATCATCAGTAATTACTCTTTCAAGGTTCTTTTTCTTGAGCTATGCAGCATAAACAGACACCAAGGTTTATACTATTTATTTTATTTTTCTTGATTTTGGCTTGTGCTATGGCTTACCCACCATGGTTAGGTTCAAGAATAGCAGTTATATATGGGTCAATACTTTTAGTTGTTACATAGAAATGATCTCATTCTATTTTTTCTTATGCAGGTTGTTGAAAGGCTTCATTGGTATGTACAAAGTGGTGATACGGTAAGTTTTTATTCTTTATTTGCGTTGTACTAATATAGTGCGTGCCGCTTAACTTTTTCTGTTTAGTCAATACATAATTGGTACTGTTTTAATGAAACTTATCACAGTAATCCATGTGTGCGGTTTTGATTTGTTACCATAAATTTGTAGTTTGATCATCTGGTAACTCTCAGCTCCATTTTCATGGTAATATTTAGTTTTCCCCATCTTTGCTCTGTTGCCACTCCTGATTTCTTTTCCTTCTTAGAGAAGTCGAAATGCTTCAAGTCTTGTAGCAATTGTATCGTACACACATTCTACTGAAGTGTTTAAACTCAATATTGTTCAGTTTGTTCAAGTCATTAATTAACTTCTGTGAAGAACTGTAGATTCTTGTGGCTTATTAGAATAAAAACATGGGATTAAAGTCTCATAATACAACAGTTGCGATGGTTTTCAAATTCACAACGGCTTGTTCTTTGATGACAATTTATCATTTTCTGTTACCAGAATGAACAAGTTTCAGCTAATTTCATTATTGCTTTACCATTTGCATTAGTTTGTGCTCATCTTTACAATTATGTGGTATCCTTAGCAGATTGTAGACTTTTGCTGTGGTTCTAATGACTTCAGCTATCTGATGAAATCAAAGCTTGAGCAGATGGGGAAAATCTGCTCATTTAAAAACTATGACATCTTCCAGGCTAAGGTTTGGCTTCTCTTGAAAATTGAAAATTTCCAATCTGTTGTTGAAAGCTCTCTCTCTCTCTCTCTCTCTCTGTAGGAAATTTTGAGGTCACTCCAAAGTTGTTGCATAGTTCTGTGCATTTTCTGTGGAGATGATTTCTTTATCTTTATTTACATGTCCTTGCTTTGTTTGGATAGTAACCAACGGTAAGCTAGATGAATGTTGACTTGCTTGAAAAATTACAACTTGTAAACTATGGTGGACATCAATGTTTAAATTAATGACTTGTTAATGGGTTTACATGTTATGTCTTGACCATCAGTCGGATATCTTAATAAGCTGTACAACAAAAAGTTTCCCTTGATTTCTGTGTTGGCCTATCATGGACAAGTATACAAGTTGGATCTTTTGCTCTACTTTGTGGCTGCTTTATGCGTCAAATTTAGACCTGAAAGATTCTTGCAGTGTTCGTTTGTTCCATCAATAGATTTTATCTCCCTCGCTGTCCTTTTCCTTGCTTAACATGCTTTGTGTATTTCTAATAGTTGTTATGCTTGTAGAATGATTTCTGTTTTGAGAAAAGAGATTGGTTCAGCGTCAACGTGGAAGAATTGCCCAACGGTTCTCAACTGGTAAGGCATAGTTTTGTCTTCTGACTTCCAAGTCTATATAAACATGAATGCCCTTTTATCCCTTAAGCTTTGAGTTGGTTTTTACTTTTCATTCCCTCTGTTGCTACATGGGTAGATCATGGGGCTGAATCCTCCTTTTGGAGTGCATGGTTATCACGCTAACAAATTCATTGAGAAGGCGCTTCAATTTAAACCAAAGCTACTTATACTTATTGTACCAGATGTAACTAAGAGGTTAGTATTTCTTGTTTCATTTTATTTTTAGCTATTTCAGTAATAGATATTGAAAACGTCTTGTTTGTTTCTACTTTACCTTACCAGACTTGACAGAAAGGAAGTTGGATATAATCTAGTTTGGGAGGATGATAAAGTGTTTTCAGGAAAGGTATGTTGACAAAAAATTTCTGAAGGTCGTTCTTTATTTAGAAAATGATTAATATCATTGTTGGTCTTTATAGGTTGCGCTCATTTTGGTTTGATCCCTCAAATTTGAAACTCATGTTTTTGGGTCCCTCAAATTTATTCTGTTTGAACTGTTGGTCCTTATATTTTTATAAGAACTTGGTTAATTGTGCTTATGTCGCATTAACAACGGTTTCAAATTTCTAGAACCAAAAGCAAAATAAGCATAAACTATAAAGACCAACAATGGTGTTAATCTTTAAAAAATTAACTTTTTGAAGATTATGTTTCAAGAGGGATTTGAAGCAAGCAAGTAATGAACTGCATTTCTTGACTCAGTCATTTTATCTGCCTGGATCTGTTGACATACATGATAAACAAATGGAAGACTGGAACCTGAAGGCTCCCCCACTATACCTTTGGAGCCGCCCTGACTGGACGGCCCGGCACACTGAAATAGCTCTGAGGCATGGCCACATCAAGGGGCAAGATGCAATGCATGTAACAGGATATCATGTAAAGAACTAGCTCATCGAGGAGAATCATGATCAGCATTACTATGGCTTACATGCACCTAATGATCTCTGCACTATAATGGATGGTATTCCGGAGGATAATGGCGATGCTATTCCTGATTGTGCAAGAGACAATGGTGAGCTTTTTCCTCCAAGAAATTGGCATGATGGGTTACTTTGCGAAGCCAAGGAAATGAGCATAGATTTGGAATTATCAACTCCATAGTTTGTGTCTGCACTAATATTTGCTCAAAATGCTTTGTGGGTGTTAAAAACAATGTCCTGAGAATTTTATGACTTGTTAGTGTAATTAGATGGCGAGTTCACCTTTGGTACAAATACTAGATTAACTATTGTCTTTTCTAATGTTACAAGTCTGACCCTGTGGAGCACTTGTATACTTTGCTTGCATCTCATTAGATGGCTCTGTTGGTAATCTTCCATGAGTCATTAATGCGGGTAAGCTGTGTGTGGGGTGTGTGATATTGCTCACATGATTATTTTCAGGCCTAATTATACAATAACCCTCAACTTTGTGTAAATTGCACCTAACCTTCCTGATAATTGAAAATTTAAACTTAATTCCCTAACATTTTAATATTTTACCATGAACCCTTCGCCATTAAGTTGTTGTTATCTTTATCTTTTTTAGCATGGACTTTTTGCTATTAAATTGCCGTTATCTTTATCTTTATCTTTTTTAATAAAAATTATTACATCATATCAATAGAAGGCACATGACATCTTATGTAAGTTATTAATTTTATAAAAAAATTTTGAACTCTGATAGATTTGTATATAACCCCCTTGACGTTTCAAAATTTAAATTTAATATTCTAAAGTTTATTTTGTAGGGGTGTTTATGTAACTGATTTAAAGTTGAGGGAAATTTTATAAAATTATTCTTCTGTTAGATGCCGTGTATGATGCTACATGTCTTCTATTGATACGACATGGCAATTTTTGTCCAAAAAATAACGGTCACTTAACAACTAATGATTTAAAAAAGAAAAGGTTGGGGGTTATTATTATTATTATTTTTTGGCCAATAAGGGGTTAAATTTAAACTTTTCAATGTCAGAGAGATTATATATAATTAATCCAAAGTTTAGGAGAATTTTGTATGATTTAATCTTGTTTTAATTACTAAAAGGGTTCTCATATGATTTAGACATGCAATTATATATTCAATTTAATCCTCTAATAATGAAATAGTTAAAACTGACTATTCATTTTACCTTTATCTAAAATTGAATAATTATCTTTTAATATTATGTAATTTGTAGATTCTGCTAAAGTTATACATATAAATAGAAGGCATTATGGATTTAATACCTTGAATGGAATGGGAAATACTATGGTATTCTCTTTTCTCTGATTCTCTTCTTTTCTTGGGTACTGTTTCATTAATTTTGTAAGATGTAATTAGCATGAAATTCTAACCAAGTTACGTATGGCATACTTTTGATTCTCAGCACAACTTTAGAGCATCGTCTCTATATTTTTTTTTTTAAAGTATCCGAAAATATCTTGAGAATCATATATAGTGTTTCGAAATATCTATATTTGTATTTGATCTATCTGGGATAATTTAAGCCATTATATAAAATTAAAAGGATTCTTTACCATTGTTTTAGCCATCAGGTTTCATGGCTAAGATTGGGGATTATTATTACTTTATATTGTTGTATTATAAGTTAATTTTGATATGAATATTATACCTTTCAAATTAACTGTGATATGAGGAATTTGTTTTTATTTATTCCTTGGTGACTTGACATCATTGTCTTTAATAGAACTTGAAGTTTCAATCGATATTCTTATATATTATTCGATGACCTGGCATCACTAATTTTGATGAAAATTGTAGTTCCAATCGATATTTGTGGTTTGTAGGCTCCCTAAAGGATTATTGTTGAAGTCATTGTTGAGATCAAAGATAGATTTGTCCATATAAATTTGATTCTCTATCACCTTGAAATTTAATAACTAAAAGCCATATAACTTTGATTTTTATCTTCTTAAGATTAAATGGCCAGGAGCTATATAGTTTTGATTTTATATCTTATGACCAAAAATCATATATAGGTATATATTTGATTCTCTATTTTATTAAATGGCCTGAAGCCATATATATTCAATTTTTTTCCTTATTAAATAATCAAAAGTCATATGATTTTCTATCTTATGGCCATAAGTCATATAAGTTTGACTTTCTATCTTATCGCCAGAAACCACATATCTTTGATTTTCAATTTTGAGATTAAATGGCTAGAAGCCATATAATTTTAACTTTTTATCTTATGGCCAGAAGCCGCATATCTTTGATTTTCTGTTTTAAAATTAAATGGCTAGAAGCTATATAACTTTAATTTTCTATCTTATCGTCAGAAGTCACATATCTTTAATTTTTTATTTTGAAATGAATGGCTAGAAGCCATGTATCTTTAATTTTTCACCTTACTAAATGGTTAGAAGCCATATAGTTTTGATTCGGAGAAGGATCATCATACGATTTGTTTATAAAAAAATTATAATAATTAGACTTTTTGAAAATAATAAATAATGTAGCTCAGAAGGTTGATGGCTTAAATAGCTTACATTCTAGATTGGTATGTTTGTTGATGAGATCCTTGTCCATCACATGAAGTAATTAGCTAGTAGCTATGTTAATTCTTTGTAACTCCAAATTGTTGAGAGGGAACATCCCTTGCAATGGAATTTATATAATGTACAAGAAATTACATTTTCTCCTTATTTTATATTTGATTAATTTAAAGTTTAAATTTGTTCTTATATGTTTTTTACATTCAATTTGATATCTATTAATATTATAATTACATATTATTAAATGGCCAACAACCATTATATTCATGTTAGTGAATGGCATGAAAAGAATAACTTGTGACACTTCAACAACTTGATTATAAATATTAAAGCCCTAAAAGCTTATGGTTCAAATATCGAATAATACAAATGATCCTTAAAAAATATACTGATTATATAGAATCTTGAAAACTAATGACTTATTAGTATTAAAGCATTAAAAGCTTATGACTCAATCTTTGTAACTATGCAGTTTGATTTTTAGTCTTTATGGATCTTTTCAAATTTCTATTGAATTTATAAATTGGGAAAATTAAACGCTAAGTCCTTGTAGGTACAGTGAGTTTTGAATTAGGTCCTTATACTATTTTTTTCTTTTTAAGCACTCCTTATAATTTCAGCCGTTAGTCACGTTGATCCTTCCGTGTTCAAAAACATCAAAAGGATGAAACGACATTCACTTGCTAAAGAGGGTGATGGTTGATTGATTAGCTGTCTTGCTAAAGAGCATCTCGTGGTCCCTCTTGCCAAATACATCGCTGATCTCTCCCACCTATTCATTTGAAACACAGGCTAGTTCACTCTCATCTTATCCGGTGATAAAATAAGATGTTGAAAATTAAGATATTTCAATTTTCTAAAGTCCTTGCATACACGTACCCAAATATTAACAAGATCAAGCCACAACTATTTGCTATTGCAGACTTTTGTATGCAGATACAGGTCTCTTTCTCATTCTTTTGGGATAAAGCGAAATAGGAGAAATCCATCTTGGGTAAATTAATAGACCAAAACAAAAATAAAAGTTTCAATTTTCTAATTGACACCATGGCCAAGTTATTACCTAATCAATGAAATTTGCATACCAGCTATCAAAAAGTGGAAGTTTTTCCATTCTAACTCTACCCTTATTGATATGAAAGGTTTATAAACAAAATAACAACGAAAAATGAAGGAGACAGATAAATGTTAATCAAAATCTTCAACCTATATATAGTACAAAAATTCTGATCTCCAATAACTTAACAACATCATCGAGGTACTGGTCTCTCTGTAGACTACGTGAATCTCATAACATTCAACTATAGTAATGCCAAGCCACAACTCTATATGTCCCTGTTTTTGGGGCCAAAAACAGAGCAAATAAAACAATGTTATGGCATAATCTTTTTTAATATATTAGGAAAAGTAGAGGTAAAAATATTAATTTTTCACTTTAATATATTCATTGTGAATGTTGGTTTTGCATTTTTGATTGCCTTACAATGTTAAAATCTTTTTCACCTCACAAAAGCAATCAGAGTCGTCCTCTCATTCGCCACCATTTATTTGGATACAAAGAACCTATTTGCCCATGATGCCCCATATCCAACACACATAGGATCAAATTTTTGGAATTTAGTGTGTGTTGATCATGTCTCATGCACATATGCTACTCCTTCTGCTGACATGCATGTATGATGAGACAGACCTGAGATCATTGAAGGAGTTGATGGGCATGAGGAGAGTGAAGTAGCCTTGCAATGTATTTGGTGAGAAAGACAAGGAGATGCTCTTTAGTGAAGACCTTGATGTTCTTGTTTGTGGAGTATGCACCTCATTTTTCAGTCAATGAACGGTTCCCCACTTCAGCAAGTTAACGTCGTTATGTCTTTCTAACATTTTTGAAGAGGGAAGGATCAATGTAATTAATGGCTGAAATTATAAAAAGTATTTAAAAAGAAAAAATAGTGTAAGGACCTAACTCAAAATTCACTATAACTATAAGGACCGAGGGTTTAATTTTTCCTTATAAATTCATCAAATAGGTTTTGGAATGTTACAAATATATATATATATATATATATAAAAGGAGTAATACTTTTCAATAATGAAATATTGAGAAAATATGTATGTGGTGGAAAACTTTAAATATTTCATATTTTGAAAAGACATGGAAGTAAAGTATATCATATAGTGAAGGAACAATATATGGCATTTTCTGAAAAACTATATGTAACCAAAAAAAAAATTAATTCCAAAAGAACTAGTTACAAAAATTGATATGTGAATTAAGAAGCATTTGGATTTCTAAGTCAAAGATATGTTATTAGCTTACTATATGTTGTTCACTCTATTTGAAATATAGATATAAGGAAAGTAGGCTTATACGACTCATACTTGAGGAGGAGATTGTTGAAATACAAGCATTAATCATGTTGGATAGAATTTGTTATCGTTGATATTTATGTCATTCCTTATATTTTATATTCCTTTTGAAAAAGGCTCTAGAAAAATCAGTAGTGCTTGACCATCCAGGAGTGCATAAGTTTCTCCTATTAGGTGAAAGATGAAATATAAGGCTCTAGAAGAGTTATACCATGATTTATTATCTTCAAGATAAAATCTAGGATTGATAACATATTTCTTGTGAATTATTAAAGTGAAAAATGAATAATATGACATGTTAACTAGAACTTTATTAACAATAGAGAATAATATTACAATAAACTAGAAATTTATGTGTGTATAGTTTGGCATTATCAGTTACATCATCCTAGATCCTAATGATGCAAAATACCATGAAGAATATGCATTGATATTTATTAAAGAACCAAGAAATTCTTTATAAATGGTACATGATTCAAGAATTATTATGTGTTGCTCGTTCTTAAAAAGAATTAAATAAGAGAACTTCATCAGCTGTGCTTAAAAACAAATCCATGCCTATTTATAATGTATCAAGTTTACATATAGGCCTATTTAGACACC